CTACACATTATCTGCCTAATTTTCCCAACACCATTTATTGAATAAACTATCTTTAGACCATTGTATGTGCTTGTTACTTCTGTCAAACATTAATTGAATATAAAGCTGTGGGTTTATTTCTGGGCTTTCTATTCTGTTCCATTGATATATGTGTCTGTTTTTATGCCAATACCATGCTGTTTTGATTAGTATGGCCTTACAGTATAGTTTGATATTAGGAAGCTTGATTCCTCCAACTTTGTTCTTCTGCCTCAGCATCTCTGTTGCTATGCAGGGCCTTTTGTGGTTCCATATAAATATTTGAAATACTTGTTCTAGTTCTGTGAAATACATCATTGGAATCTTGACAGGAATTGCATTGAATCTATAGATTGCTTTGGGTAATATGAACATTTTAATGATGTTAATTTTTCCTATCCATTAACACAGTATGTGCTTCCATTTATTTGTATCTTCTTCAGTCTCTTTCTTCAGTATCTCATAATTTTCTGAGTGCAGGTCTTTTACATCATTGGCTAGGTTTATTGTTAGGCATTTTATTCTTTCTGAAGCAATCATGAATGGGATTGTTTTCTTAATTTCCCTTTCTGTTAGTTCATTATTAGACTATAAAAATGCAACTGATTCTTGGATATTAATTTTGTATGCTGCTACTTTGCTGAATTCATTTATCACTTCTAGTAGTTTCTTGGTGTAGTTGTTGGGATTCTCTAGGTAAAGTATCATGTCATCTGCAAATAAAGGCAGTTTTACTTCTTCCTTTCCTATGTGGAAGCATTTTATTTCTCTTTCTTGTGTGATTGCTGTGGTTAGGACTTCCAATACTATGTTGAATAAGAGAAGTGAAAGCAGACATCCCTGCTTGTTTCTGATCTTAAGGGGAATGCTTATAGTTTTTGCCCATTGAGTTTGAAGCTGGCAGCAGGTTAGTCATCTATAGCCTTTATTATGTTTAAATATGTTCCCTCTATTTCCACTGTGCTGAGAGTTTTTATCATGCATGGGTGCTGGATTTTATGAAATGATTTTTCTGCACCTATTGATATGATCATTACTCTTCATTTTGTTTATGTGGTGAATCATATTTTTTTGATTTGTGAACGTTGTGCTGTCCTTGTATTCCCAGAATAAAACTCACTTGATCATGTTGTATGATTTTTTTGATGCATTTCTGTTTTTGGTATCCTAATATTTTGTTGAGGATTTTAGCATCTATGTTCATCAGGGATATTGGCCTATAATTTTCTCTTTTTTTGTAGTGTCCTTATCTGGCTTTGGAATTAGGATAATGCTGGCTTTATAAAATGAGTTTGGGAGCCATTTCTCCCCTTGAATTTCATGAAATAGTTTGAGAGGAAGAGGAGTTAGTTCTTCTCAGAATGTTTGATATAATTCACCTGTTAAGCCCTCGGGACCAGGGCTTTAGTTTGTTGGAAGTTTTTTGATTACTGATTCAATTTCACTGGGTGTACTCTGTCTATTCAGATTTTCTGATTCTTCCTAATTTAGTTTTGGAAGATCATATGTTTCTAGGAATTTATCCACTTTTTCCAGTTGTCCAGTTTGTTGGCATATAGTTCATAATATTTTCTTAGAATTCTTTGTATTTCTTTGGTGCCAGTTGTTATTTCTCCTCTTTCATTTCTGATTTTATTTATTTGGGTCCTCTTTCTTCGTTCCTTGATGAGTGTGGTTAAAGGTTTGTCAATCTTGTTTATCTTTTCAAAGAACCAGCTCTTGGATTCATTGATCTTTTGTATAAATTTTTAGACTCTATTTTGTTTATTTCTGCTCTGGTCATTATTATTTCCTTCTTTCAACTTATTTCGGGCTTTGTTGTTCTTTTTCAAATTCCTTTAAGTGTAAAGTTGAGTAGTTTATTTGAGCTTTTTCTTGTTTTTTGAGATAGGTCTGTAATGCTATGAATTTTCCTTTTAGGATTGCTTTCCCAGTGTTCCACAGATTTTGGATTGTTGTGTACTCATTTTCATTTGTTTCAAGGTTGCTTTTGATTTCTTCCTTGATCTTGTTGTTAACCCATTCATTGTTTAATAACATGTTATTTAGCTTCCATGTCTTTGTGTATTTTTCAATGTTCTTCTTGTGATTGATTTCTAGTTTCATAGTGTTGTGGTTAGAGAAGACGCTTGATATGATTTCATTCTTCTTAAATCTATTGTGACTTGATTTTTGTCCTCACATATGGTCTATCTTAGAAAACACTCCATGTGCATATTCTACTGCTTTGGGATGAAATGCTCTGAAAATATCAATTAAATCCACTTGATCTAATGTGTCATTTAAGGCTCCTATCTCCTTGCTGATGTCCTGCCTGGAAGATCTATCCAGTGATGTCACAGGGGTGTTAAAATCCCCAACTATGACTGTATTTCTGTGGATCTCTCCCTTTATGTCCATTGAAATTTACTTTATATATTTAGGTGTACCTATGTTAGGTGTATAAATGTTTATTAGGGTTTTGCTCTGTTGTTGTTGTTCCCTTTATCTTTATGTAGTGTCCTTCTTTGTCTCTTACTATAGCTTTTGTTTTAAAGTCTACTTAGTTGGATATAAGTATTGTTACCCCAGCTTCTGTTTCCTTTCTATTTGCATGAAATATCTTTTCCCATCTCTTTACTTTTAGTCTGTGTGGATCTTTCAATCTGATATGGTTCTCTTGGAGGCAGCATATATATGGGTCTTGTTATTCATTCAGTTACCCTATGTCTTTTGGTTGGAGCATTTAAGCCATTTACATTTAAGGTGATTATTGGTAGATATGTATGTAGTGTCATTTTATTATTAGACTTTTTTCCTCTCTTTTTTTCTTCTTTTTCCTCTTAAAGCAAGTCCTTTAACATTTGATATGGTACTATGGGCTTGTTATTAACAAACTCCTTTATCTTTTTCTTTTCTGGAAAGCTCCTTACTTCACCTTTGATTTTAAATGATTGTCTTGCTGGTAAAGTAGACTTGGTGGTAGATCCTTGCTTTTCATTACCTTGAATATTTCATGTCACTCCCTGGTGGCCTGAAATGTTTCTGTTGAGTAATCAGATGACTACTTGGTTCTCCCTTGTATGTACTACCTGTTTTTTTCTTGCAGCTTTTAGGATTCTCTCCTTGTTTTTTAGCCTTGTCAATTTACTTATGATGTGTCTTGGTGTAGGCCTCTTTGGGTCCAACTTGTTTAGGACTCTCTGAGTTACCTGGAATTTTGTGTCTCATATTTTCATCAGATTAGGGAAGTTTTCAGCCAATATTTCTTCTAATAGGTTCTCAGTCACTTTCTTGCTCCCTTCTCTTTCTGGTATTCCCATGATGTGGATGTTGTTACATTAATGTTGTTCAATATGTTTCTTAAGCTCTCCTCATTTTTTTAAATTCTTTTTTCTTTTTACTGTTCTGCTTGATTGTTTTTTCAACCTTACCTTCCAAATCACTGATTTGATCCTCTGGTTCATCTAAGCTACTCTTTATTCCTTACAGTGTATTACTTATTTCAGATACTGCATTTTTTATTTAAGACTCATTTTTTATGGCTTCTATGTCTTTTTTCATGCTGTTGATTATCCTTATAATCATTATTCTAAACTATCTGATAAATTGCTTGTCTCCATTTCATCTAGTTCTGGAGAAATCTCTTTTACTTTCTTGGGGTCTGTTTCTTTATTTTTCCATTTTAGCTGCCTGTTTGTGTTTGTTTCTGTGCAAGACTCTGTTGTAGAACTAAGTCAAACCCTGCCTGGGACTAGCCCTGGGCAATCTGTTTGGAGATATCAGTGATCCACAGTGCGTGGCTCCCTTTTCTGGGCATATTTGTGTGCAGAATGAACAAGGCTGCACATCAAGGCCAGGTTTTATCAGCACCAGGCCTGGGGAAGGGTCAGCTGAAGCCTTAGAGCTTCCAGCAATTTACCTCTGCCTGCAGGCTTTCTGTAGAGTTAATCAGTGAAAGTCTTCCCGGTGTACTCCTCAGCAGCAGGGCTTTAGCACCACAAGGTCAGGCAGAGTAATTCCTATGGTCAGGGCTATTGTTTCCCCTCAGGCTGATGCCATTTGGGGAGGAGTTCTTTGCCTTAGAAAGATGGCTTATGCAGGATGGGCGGTGACTCAGCACGTGGATTCTGGTGGATGTTCGTTTAGTTCTCCTCCTAGAACTAGCAGACCCAAATTCTCCTCACACATCTCTAGTCTACTCTGCTCTCCCTTTGTCACAGCCCAGGGTAAGTGACTGCAAATGGAAACTTGTGCTCTTGACCTTTAAAAGGCTCTCTGCATCTCCAGCTATCTCTCCCTGGCAGAGGGAAACCCCACTGCTTTCAACAGCCTTATGTTATTTGAGTTCCTTTCACAGTTCTGGTGTTGTAGGCTGGAGAGCTAAGTTTGGGATTTAGACCCCACCCTTCCCAGGGGTAGCCCCCCAGCTGCTGAAATATCCCTCCAGCATTTAAGCTGCTTCCCTTGGGAGCCCAGCCAATCTTCTCACACCTCCTCTGCACTCCCTTACAGTCTCATTGTGGTGACATGGCTTCTCCCATATGTCCATGGTTATAAGGCTTCTCTCCAGCTAGTGTTCAGTTGGTTATTCAGGATAATATTTCTGTAATTTAGTTGTAATCCCAGGTTGGTCTTGGAAGGAGGTTAGTGTAGCTTCCATTTACTCCTCCACCATGTTGGGTGTCTTGCCACAGTTTACTAACCTTTTAACTAATTATGATTTTTATTCATACTATACAGCATACAGCGAACTGAATGATGTTCAAACTTTTATAAGCATAAGCATTGTTCCTTTCTAATTCCAAATAACTCTCTGATATAGAAAACTTGGAATATATCACTCATAACTGAAGACATTAAATGACATACCTATAATAAAAGATATTGCTTATTTTATTTTAGATAAAGGAACTTCTAAGAAAAAGAAATAGTAGGATTATATAAATGAGATGTGTGTAAGCACAGTATTTGACATAAAAACTTCAAGGGCTCTTTCTTACCTCAAGAATGGGACACATAATCTCTGCCGTGACATCACCATAATTCTTACAGAATTTATAGAATGCCTCCAGGTAAGACTTAAAAAGAAGAAAGATCATAAAACAATAAGATGACTATATGCTCCTTTTGGAAATTTCCAGGTCAGTTTTTCATGGCTTATTAAATGCTTTAATGGAAATTGAATCACTTCTCCCATAGGGAGATATTTTATAATAAATTTGGAAGAAATTTTCATATTAAAGCACATTGCACAGTATGAAAAAAGAACTTCATGAAAGAACAAAATTGTACTTATCATATCTTATAATTAATGACAAGTGCTTTTTTGAATGTATCATGGAATCTCACAGAGTTAGTTCTTGCCACTCTGACCAGAGTGCAAGACTCCTTTATAAGCTCAATGAGTAACGTTCGATTTGGTTCAGTGCAGACATTTCATCTCTCAGGAGATGCATTTGAGGTCGCTTTGAGCACGAAGGGTACAATGAGAAGGCAGTGGCTGGGCTGCCATCAGCCTGTCTGTGCCTGAGTCCCAACATCACTACTCACTAGTGAACTGACTTCAACTGTCACCTCACTTTCATGCCTCCATTTTCTCATCTGAGGAATGGAGATGGCACAGTTTTGCTTGATTGATAGAGTAAGTTAATGTATATATATTACTTACAGATGGTGCCTTCTGTTAGCTGTATTCAGGGTGCCTCTTGTAAGGCGTTAAGAGCCCTTATAATGTAATGCTTTTAAGAGGACCATGTTTCAACATACCATGGTACATATATATGGCATGGCAGTCTACATCTATTCAGCTACTCTGTGAGAATGTCCAAAGACACTATGGTGTACAAGTGAAAAGGCAGAGTTTACTCAGACTCTGTTACATAGAGATCCTCAGATGCTGGCAGCACAGTTCAGAGAATCAGCTGGCCAGACCATGGAAAGTGGTACAGATGATGTCATGTGCAGTTTGTCACCTTGATATGCTGCCCACTGTCAGTAGGTTAACATTGTATGGACAGGGACTCTTTCACAGGATGAAGGACAGAGATGAACTCTACATAACATTATGTTCACTATAAATGCTGGTTGTTTTCAAATCTATCCATCAATTGATACCTTTTATGTTCTAAGCAAAGATGTGGAGATACAGAGAAAATTGGGGTGTTACCTCCCCTCAACAATCTTCTGGTTGGGAAAGCTGACATGTATGTATACTCCAAATATGCCTCACTTCATACTTGCAGGAACTGGCTAATAGGCAAAGTCACTTCTAAGAAAAAACTCTGGTTATAACATATTATGTAATAAAGAAAAACATATTATTTGGGAAAACAGTTACCTTATACAGTTTATTGCGCAGTATTTCAATATTCAGTTCATCTAATGTATTTTCGGACATGCAGTCTTGAAAGAATGGAGCTGAGAAGTCATCGTATAAAATAAGTTAATCAGAAGCATGATTATAAACTGTAGGAAATGTCTCCTGAATGCACCACCCCATGTTCACCTGACTAGGACAGTGGAGTTTCATTCCATAGATGCAATCAACCTAATAGTACTGATGGCAACAGGAGTGACTGTTTATTAAGGATTTACTATGTGTGTGTCCTACACAACACATGAGATATACTTTAAGTGAGTTAATCCCCACAATGCTTGGAACTGTTTACTTCAAGGCTCACTTTTTGAAGTCTCTCCATTATCAAATAGTAATACTTAACATTTGTGACCTCACTGTGTGCCAAACATTGAGTTGTACTTATTTAGTGTCTTCTTTTTGTTTCAAAACTCTAAAATGGGGGAACTAAGGGAAACTGAATTACCCCATGTCACTTTGTTGGGACCAGGTAAAGCCAACTTCATGCTTATGGATATCTGATTCCAGACCCATCCTCTTTCCTCTGTGAGCTGTACCCTTAGCATTGGACACTTGATGACACAATTTTTTTTCTAATTTTTTTGTCCAAAATGGCATGATTTTGAAAAATGATCAACAGTGCATTGCTACTGTCCAAAATTTCCTAATGATGATGCTTACAAAATTGCCCCATTAACATTTTGAGTGCTACGTCAGGCCATTTGCAGACAATCCTGAGCATATCAGAAAAAAGGCATTCCTAAAATTTCCAAAAAAAAATGTTTCCTAGGATTTAAAATAAAAGGAGAAGGCATTAATCCTTTTTTAAAAAAAGCTACAAAATTAATGTTTTGAAACATTGCAAGTTCTTTCATTTATTTGCTGTGGTCTCGTACAAAGTACAAGGATTTGGAGTTTGGGAGGTGAGCCTCAGCTCCTTTCAGCTATGGATAGTTTGTAGGTAACCCTGGCAGGTATTGGCTTGGCCAAAAAGTTTGTTTTTTTCATAAGGTGGCTCTGGTAGCACTCAGTTGTCTTTAACTTGATTTGAAACAATTTTGTTAGATTGTATTGTGACAGCATCGTATCAGCGTGCATTTAAAAAGAACTAATCAAAATTAGTGAATTTTTGTGTACTTATTTTAATATTGAATATGGAACAAAATACACAACATTTTTTCCATATTATGTTTTATTATTTAAAGAAAGATAAAAACACAACTGAAATACAAAAAAAAAATCTGTGCACTGTAGAGAGAAGGTGCTGAGGCTGATCGAATGTGTCAAAAGTGGTTTGCGAAGATTCGTGCTGGAGATTTCTCACTGCATGATGCTCTACGGTGAGGCAGACAAGTTGAAGTTGATAGCAACCAAATTGAGACATTAATTGAAAATAATTAATGTTTATGCCATGTGGGAGATAGCCGATGTACTCAAAATGTCCAAATCAATAAAAAAGTGGGAGAATCAAGATGGTGGAGGAGTCAATGGAAGTCACACTGACCTCCTCTAAGAAACAATCTGGAATTACAACTAAATTGTGGAGACATCACCTGGAACAAACAACTGAACAATAGCCTGAGAGGAGCCTTGTAACCTCAGACAGACAGAAGAATCAGTTTTAGCACAAACTAACTGGTAAGAAGTGTGGTAGAGACTTGGGAAGGTGGGCGGGTTGCCCACAGGTGGCAGCACAAGATGGATATTGAAATGGCCAGTTGAATCCCCTGGAGAAGAGCAGGGTCTAAACCATGAGCAGGGATTTCCAGCCTACGGCACCAAAACCAAAAAAAAAGTACATAGATAACAGCCAGCTGTGACAAGTGGCAGAGTTGCTCTCTGCCAGACAGGCAGCTGAAGATGCAAAGAGCCTTTTGGAGGGCCAACACACAAATTTTTTTTGCAGCCCCTTACCCTAAGTTTTGGCAAAGACAGGGGAAGAGTGGACTGGAGAAGCCTGAGGAGAGACTGGGAAAGGAGGCTTTGGGGAGGGAACTGAGAGAGTAGCCAGCAGGATCCTGGTGCTGACTAATCCCCCATGAAGCAGCAGCCATCTGGTTCAGGCAGATCACTCCGCTGAGTGGCAACAGTGTGAGAGGACCCAATGACACTGCCTTAAACAGGACCTCAGACACACCCTGTGGTGTTTCTAAGATGGCCTGCTGAGTGCAGAGTGGCAGCCACAGATAGTAGATGCCTGGACAAAGGGGGTGCGGAGTGCTCTAGAGAAAATTGATGAGAGAATGGAGATGGAGGCTTTGGGGAGAGAACAAATAGGGTAGCTGGCAGGATCCCAGTGCTGACTCTTTCCCCATGTGGAGGCAGCCACCTGGCTCAGGCAGACCACTCCTCTGAGCAGCAGCAGTGTGGGAGGACCCAATGACTGCGCCCCTGGGAGGGACTCTGCCACACTCTGTGGTGTCTAAGCTGCCCTGCTGAGTGCACAGTGACTAGTTTAACAGCTGAAGGAGACAGCCACAGACAGTAGATTCCTGGAAGTATTGAACAGACTGCTTAAAGCGAGACAGTGTCAACATCTGACATTATCAGAGGAAGATCAAGAAAGAAAAAAACAGTGGTCTCCTACCATAGAAGTTCACACCACGAAGTCAGAAAATCAAGACAGATCAATTTAAAGCAGAACAAAAAGAGAAGAGCCTCGGATATAGGAGAAGATGGCGGAGGAATGAATGGGAGTCATGCTGAACTCCTCCCAAGACCAAACTGGAATTGCGACTAAATAGTGTTGTAATCACCTGGAAAACAATGGAACGATAGTGGAAGAGGAGTCTTGGTGCTGCGGCGAGTGGATTCGACTCTCACACATCCCAACGGGTGAGAAGTGCAGTCCAGGATTGAGAGGGTAGGCTGGGTGCTGAATAGCGCCAGAGGGACATTGAAACGGCCAGATAGCTTCCCCCGAGAAGAACGGGGTCTGAATCATAAACAGGGACCCCTAAACTACAGCAGCTAAAACCAAGAAAATACAGACAAAACGCAACCCCGAAAAGCTTAGGGGCGCTCTCTGCCAGAGACAGGTGGCTGGGGATGCAAAGAGACATTTAAAGGGCCAACGCAAAAATTGTGGTGGCAGCCACCCTCCTTGATCTCTCGGCAGAGGCGGCAGCAGGATGGGCAGGTGCCTGGGAAAAGACTGGTGAGGAAAACTTTGTGAAGAGAACTGACACAGCAGCTGGTGGAGTCCTGGTGATAACGCACCTCCCACTCTGCAGCTCCCATCTCGCTCAGGCATAAGGGAATCAATTAACCTGCCTTTTGTGCGCTCCGCACACAGCTTGTACGCGTGTGAGCTACGGGGCTGAGTGCAGACTGGCTGGGAGAGCCTTGAGGAGAGACTGGAGACGGAGGCGTTGGGGAAAGAATGGGAGGAGGAACCGGGGAGTCCTGACTCCCTGCCCTTTCAGTAGTCTCCATTGTGGGCTGGAAAGGTGCAACCCCAAAGAGGAAGAAGCGGGGCGCGCATGAACCAGACTGCCTGCGATTGAAATGCAGGTCACACAGGTGGTGGATCCTTGTCCAAAGGTGTCACAGAACTGCCCAGAGACCCCTGAGGAGAGACTAGAAATGGAGGCATTGGGGAAAGAATGGGAGGAGGAACTGGGGAGTCCCGATTCCTTCTCCTTGCTGTAGTTTCCATTGCATGGGAAGAGACCACACTCCCAAAGAGACAAAAGCCAAAAGCACACATAGACAGCACAAAAACACCCAGTGCAGGTGTGAACACTTGCACCGAGTGACCGGCAAGGGTTGGCGAGCGTGTGTGTGACCCGCGCGGGCTGCCGAAGGCTTGCACCGGCCAGCAAGGCCTCCCACAGATTGGCCTTGTGAGGGAGTGCACTGAGCGGCAAGGGCAGACATAAATTGACCCGCCCGCCCGTGATTGCGGAGTGGCCCACTAAATTAGTAGAGCTGCCCAGAATCCCTGGAGGAGAGACCGGAGACAGGATAAACTGGAGAGTCCTGGAGCTGACTTCCTCCCATTTCCGTAGTCCACATTGGGCGAGGGCAAGCAACGCACCCAAAGACCCAAAAGCGGGGATAACACACAATAGAAGTCCCGAAACTGACCAGTGTCGGGGAGCTCACCGGCCAGGGGGCCAGATGAGTCCACAAGGTCATGAATAAGCCCTCTGGTCTGGGGCAAGCACATGAGAGCCCAGGAAGGCAGGGGATCCTGTGCCACCGGGAGCGCGCTCAAGGAACCAGTGTGAGAGTGCAGAGAGACCCAAAAAATAGCTCATCCCTGACAAAAGGGGTCTCAGAGCTGCTCCAAGCAGGAGTCAGACAGTAGACTCCTGGAAGGCTCAAACAAACAACCCAAGGTCCTAGAGGGTCAACAACTGACACCATCAGAGGCAGACCCAGAAAGAAAAGTAAAGGACAAAAATACTGAACAGACTCTCACAAAAATGGGAAGAAAAAGAAGTTCCCCCCAAATGAGTGGAAAAGGGGACTCCCCACAGAGAGAGCTAAATGAAATAGAAGCAAGGGAACTATCAGATATTGATTTCAAAACAATGGCTCTAAGGAAGCTCAATGAGCTCAGCCAGCTCAAAGAAAATTTGAAAAACTGCAGAGAAACTATCAGGAACTTACAGCAAACTATACCAGCCTATAAAAGGACATAGAAACTATCAAGAAGACACAAGACGATATGAAGAATACCATTTTTGAATTGAAGAACACAGTAGAAGGAATACAAAGCAGGCTGAATGAAGCCGAGGACCAAATCAGTGAGATGGAGGATAAGGTAGAAAGAAGCTCCAAGAAAGAACAAGAAATGGAAAAGTGGCTGAAAAAGACTGAAGAGGCATTTAGAGAAATTCAGGTCAACCTGAAACGCATTAATATCCATATAATAGGGATACCCGAAGGAGAAGAAGAGGAGCAAGGGATAGAGGACCTCCTCGAAAAAGTAATGATAGAAAATTTCCCTAATTTGAGGAGAGAAAGGCTCTCATGGATCCAGGAGGCACAGAGGACCCCACTCAAGAGGGATTCAAGGAGGTCCACTCCAAGACACATCATCATTAAAATGGAA